AACCGGGCCTGGAAGATTGTAGTTGTTAGGGTTAACTGCCTTAGCCTTAATGCCGATAATTCTGCGGTCGTTGATGAACGTTTCCTGATCGCCAACGAAACTCACTTGTCCTGCTCCACCCTGGGTCTCATTTCTCCTTCTGCAATAACTAATTATTATTATGGTCTCTATGACTGAGGTGAGAACTAAGCCGCTCCCCTCCAGTTCTGGAGAACGCGGTACACGTACCTGAGCACCGGCTCGAGTGCGGCACACGGAGACAAGAGGTTTATTTTTGTCAGCCACCGTGCCCGATCCAGTCTCCGGTCTTCCTAACCATGTTTAACCACTCGGTCCCGATGAGAGAACTGAGGAGAGAGTATGGCAGACGCTGCCCAAGTGCTGCACCCAGCACATGGTGGATGTCATCGCGTGCTACGGTCGAACTGCCGGGCAGTGACGCTGACTGAGTAGACAGGCACTCGTATTCACCGGTTTCTAGCACGGTGTCCTACCTTCATTCTTGATGGCAGACACAGGAATGACCGAACACGAACCAGCAGGAAGGAGAATTTCCTCTCACGTTTGCTCTAACATTTCATGAAACTAGGCAATCTAAGAAACAATATAGGGACTGGCGACTTCCACAGGGATATCGCTTCTGTTGCGTAGCGATGACGTTCTCTCTGGAAGGAGGGTAACACGACGACGCAGGGCTTTAAGAGTGGTCTGGCGACTAAAGGATAGAAGCGATTAAACTTTCCAGGTGAGCACTATGTCCGTCGAGTTGTCAGCAGGAATCCCAGCAGCTCCGTTACAGGGAATGGATAGAGCATGGCCATGCTCATCAGAGTGACGAGCATAGTTGTGCTGCATAGGCATACGTACACTTCCTGACAGTAACTCAGGCCACGTGTATTGCAGGGGGAGTCCCTTCTTAAATGCCCAAAATTTAACCTCAGCTATTTGCGCAGATAACCGTGGGCTTCTTGAGGTACTCCAGATCTTACGGCGCTGCGGGGGGAATACAAGATTTCGGTGGCAAGGATTTGTATGGTCGCCTAAAGAGGAAAAAGGAGTAGGAGTGCCTCGCCCACTTAAAATCGGTGAACTTGTCATAACTTCCAGGAAGAGTAGTTATTCTATGTCTTAACCCTAGACTGAAACCTTAATCTTAACCCTCAGCCTTGCCGTAAACCTAAACCCTACATTTAACACGAACCCTAACAAAACCCTGACCCTAGCCTACCTCTGTTTTTACCACTTCTTTCAAACTTAACCCTAAACCAAACTTCCCTTGAAGTTGGTGCAAAGTCGCATGTACTGTGGACGATTCCTGCTCCCGGGTCTTGTTTAGGCGGACATACAGTACATTCCTACCGTTTCCTTCGACCGTGTGGATTCCAACGGTGTTTTTGTGCTTTGTGCCTTGAGTTGCAGAGCAAATTCAGTCTCTTAGCCGACCATATTCCTCTCATTCGTCGTTGCTAACCGGGCGGGATGACTAGACGTGCGTTTAGTTTTAAAATGGATTCAACCGCAAGAAAAGACTATAGGTGGGGAAAAGTTGTTGAACAATGCGAGAGCAAGACTAGCAACTCGAACTTTCTCATTCACACAACTAAAAGTAGGCCAGGGTACTTGTCAAGGCGGCAGCGACAACATTAATCAGCTTATGATATTGGCAATTCAAGGACGTGCGGATGAACAACTACTTTGTGCACCCAGCCAAAATACATGGGCTATGTGGACGAAACAAAGGTCTTCCACGGACAGCCCGGCAATGGCTGCGAGACAGCGTATGGTAGCCAAAAGGAGAAGTTCTTGCCCGACCAGATAAACGCGCGCACCCACTGAAGGTAAAGAGAGGAGAGCGCCCGTCTAAGTAAGTATTTACGCACGGTATATCGAAAGCAACTAACTTTATATCCCAAGGATTTGACGGTCGAGACCATTGAACTTCTCCTACGATGAAGCGGAGAACTGCCTCGGACATGACCAATTCCCCCAGCTCCTTTATTTCTGTCTCATGTTTGAAGAAACAGTCTACGAGCAGGTGAAGGAAACACCAAATGGGTTCGCCGATTTCTGGATTCGTAGCCGGGGTTGTCCTGCCCATCCTATATTCGGTGCTGAAACCTAGTTTGCCTAAAGACATTAGCCCCTCGAAATACGCACAGGTAAACACAGCTTCAAACGCCAGTGACCGTGGGCAATCCTTACGCCAACCTCCAGCACTACTGGTGAAATTTCACAGCTTAACGACGCGACTTACGGCCATCAAACAATTATCGCAACAGAGGTCAATTGTCCCTGATGAAGGGGATGGGGGGGAGGTGAACCGTTAATTGTCATAGGTATGCGGTAGCATTGCAATTCCCTGAAAATTAATTACCTATATCTGATTGTGAGTTCAGGCATGAATCCGAAACTCTTGTGCCGAAAGAAAAAAAGGAGGTGAATTACAAAAGCTGGAACTTCTTACTGAAAGTACGAGTCCTAAGAAGTAACTGAGAAGTAATAGATGTAATCGTTAGGACAATAAGTTGATTCTCCTAACGTTTCTGGTTCTTAATCGAACTTCTCATCAAAGACCTCATTAGCTACGAGTAATCAAATACACAGGGAATTGCAGTTTTGATAGGATGCTTTCGCTAGGCTACTGCATACCAATGACAGTTAACGCCCCCCTCTCCTTCACCGAGGATGATTGCACTTTGGTGTGATAATTCCACGATGGCCAGCATTCAAGTCGTTAGTCTCTAAAATGTCACCAACCCTGATGGATGTCGGCATGATAAATTTTCGAATATCTGGTTCACCGGCGTTGGAAAAAATGTTCACTTGCGCGTTCCCGAGTGGTTGATGACTTTAGCCAAACTAGCTATCAACGCCAACCATGGAATAGGCAGGTTATTGCACTTCTTAACAGACTGGCGGCCCGAGAATCATGACTCAAGTCGCTCGCGGCTCACG